TTGGGTTTTTGTGGTTTGTTTTTTTGGTTTATTTTTTTTTAACCGTAGAATAGAACTGAGAGAACAAAAAGAACATGATAACCGTGGTCTAACGCCACACGTATTGTACTGTACGAAAGGCCTGTCACAGGAGCCACGGGATGTGGAAAAATAAACCCTCGCTGCCCGTGGAAAGGAAGGGCCCGGCCACATCTGGTGTTGCTTGGAGCAGTTGTTCCTTGCGATGACTGTTGTAGCAACTTTAATTACTGACGGCTTGCTTTAATTATTATTCGTGTTGTAAATCACTTTCCTTCAGCTGCAGCAAGTTGTGGGAAATTGCTTTGCAACAGCAGTGGCTTCATATCTGCCATACTAAGTCAAGAGTTTAAATGCAAGCAAATGAAAATGTGCAAGGTGAGATGTTAAGGCAGTTCCTGTGAATATTTTCAATGCCTTTTGCAAGGTGACCCCTTCCCTGAAACCTGATGTTTTTCCAATGATCCCATTCCTCATTGTGTGCACCAGTGTGTTACTAAAAATGAAAAGCAAATTAGAAAAGACATTTTTAATACAAAGCTTTTTGTCCTTTCTCATGTGCATCACATTTTCAGCTTGCTAACTCAGGACTAAATCTATTGGTACACCCCCTCATCTGCTGTTGAAGGCTCCTATTCTGTCTCCCTGCCTTTCATTTCCTTTGGCCAGCCCTAAAGTGACTATATCCTCACGCTCCCTGTGACAGTTCTTTTCCTCCTGTCACCCTCACCACTGCAGTCTGAGGGTCTGGGCCTCTTCCTGCTCCTTCACAGCCTGAAACAAAACTGAGCTCCGCTGCTTTTTCTGCTGCTGCTGCCAAGCAAATGGTTGCTGCAACATTTGCAAAGCCCCCATTGCAGTGTAGGTTTTCTCTGAGCAACACGTATGAGTGTCAGGGTGGGTGTCAGAGCTGAGCATGCTGCCTGCAGTAGAGGAAAAGGAGAGGAAGGAAGGGTTTTCAGAGGGGCATTCACTCTTGATGTGGGCCTGGAGCAAGTACCTCATGTCTTCTGTTCAATACTCATAAGGCAGCAGTGCTCCCTTCTCTCCATTACTTGTGAAAGTAGACTGCCAGCAAACACCCAGGTGTCACCCCCAGACCAAGCCAGCACATGGCTGGAGCACACACCTGGAACCACAGCTGGAATGCATTCCTTGTTTCAGAGGTTGAATGTGATCACAGCAACCCAGAGAGTCCATCCACCTCCAAAACATGCTCTTGAGGAATATTGGGGCAAATGACTCTGCAGGTTTTCTCTGCCCATGGCCCCTGGGTGATGCCTTAAGACTTAGCTTACACATTTTCCAGATTCTGTACTGCATTAGTAGATAATTCTGAACTTCATATCAAGTGTTAGAAAGTTCTCTTTACATTAGTTAGACAAAACAATCCTTTTCCAGCCTGAGAGCCAAGGACACCGCTGCAGCTTCAGGCCCAAAAGGTACAAACAGCAACGAATTGAGGAGAGCGGTCTGGGAGGATGGGACTTCATAACCTGAAGCTGTAATCAGACAATTAACCCCAATATGTGAATGGACCAAAACTTATAAAAGGGTGAAAACTCGTGACTTGGTGTCCATCTTGGGAGGAGCCATGGCCGGGCTCTTGTAGTGCCCAAGGTGTATCCTTTGAAGGCCTTTTAATAAATACCTGCTTTATTCCTTTAACACTGTCTGGCCTCTGCTCTAGGTATCCTCTCTAGGCATCATGGGGACAGCCAGGCTCAGCTGCCCCAAGTGCCCTGGCAGCCCTGAAGCCTCTCAAAGTGTCAGGAAAATCCCCAAACACCAGAGGTTTATGTCCAAAAATGCGGCAGAGAAATCCTGCAACTTCATTCAAATAAAGGGAGAGAGTCCACTGGGGCACACACCTGCAGGGCTTTCTCTCTGGAGGTTTCAGAGGGCACAGCCTCCTTTTGTCCCAAACTCCCGGCCTCATGTTGCCTCTTCCTTTCCCCACTGGCTGATGTACTTGGAAGGTAGAGCCTTCCTGAACTGCCTATCACATATAGGCCTCGTAGCTACTATTTTACGCCAAAGCTCAGAAACTCTGGCTTGTGCAGACCCACTTGTTTGTTTCAGGAGCCAAGCTGTCTGGGCTCTGCAACAAACCTGCTGCCCAAAGTTAGTACAGACATGAAGACCCATTTCAAACACATTAACCCCATACCTTCACCCAACAAATTTGTTGTAAAGACATGAGCTTTCCTCTCAATGGCCACATCACCAGGTTCAATTGGCTCTGTAATAGGAGGTTCCCTAAAACCTCCCACATTTTGTAGCACCTGGTCAAAACTAGTTGAAAGACCACTGGGTGAAAGAGGTCCCAAACAAAAGGGTGTATCTCAATGCTTTGTCATTTGAGGGGTGGTTTTCCTTTACTGCAAGAAGTGGAATGAATGACTCCTAAAATACATAAAGGCCTGGCATTTTTAATGGGCTTCAGAATGTCTAAAGGTGGTATTTCACAAAACTGCTAGTCTTATGATTCTAGAAACAAGACAATGGATGGAAATACAGGGTAATGGAGACTTACATCTGTGGCTTTCTGTTAGATCATTGTTCTCATTTTCCTGTGATTTTCTTAAGCTTTAACAATGTGGGCTACATTTTCTATTCTAGGAGTCTGACTGAGATCTTTAAGTACTGGTCAAAATAGTTTTCCACTGTTCCTGAGTTAGAGAAAATACAGTGCTTTGTCACTGTAATTATGCTTGGATGAGACAAAATTTCTATTCTCCTTAATTTTGCTCTTACAATTAACTGTAGCTGAATTACAATTGGAAATTCTGTTTTGAAGGGACAATAAAGTGACGATGGCAGAAAGCTTAGCCAGTAGAGAATGAAAATTGTCCTGGTTTAATTTTGTTCATTTCATACATATGTGCCATAGCACAGTCTTAATTACATGAGCTATTTTTTCAGAAGGGAAGAGCTCAAGTTGAATGTGTCAGGAAACTTAATCCACAAACACCACAGGTTTATGACCAAAAAGGAGACAGAGGAGTCCTGCAACTTAATTCAAATAAAGGGAGAGGCCATGGGACATTTCTCATGGGTTCTCTCAAATTCTTAGGGTATCCAGCCTTCTTTTTATCCTAATTTCCCAGACATGTTTCCCTCTCTCTTTCCACACTGGCTGAGCAACTTGAGACTTACAGACTCCCTGAAACACCTAATACCTAATACCCCTTCTAATTATAACCCCCCTCCCATTTTTCTTTGTGTCTCTGGGTTTTTTCTCTAAATCCAGAGATTTAGTGGAGTCTTGAGTGAGTAACAGTCTGTGTCAATTAGTGGAATTCCTATGGAATTTATGGCTTCTCCCATTGCTTCTTTCACCTTGCTGTATCTGGCCTTATCTATGTATCAGCCCCACAGTTTGTTTGTCAAGACACGTTCTTCTCATTCTTTTCCAACAGCAGATCAGTTTATTTCTAGAAGGGTAAAGAGCAAGCCTTTTGAGTCCTGTGGCTGCCTCCCACAGCACCTGTATGACTGAGAGCAGTAGAGCTTGCAGGACAAGGAGATGCTCACCCCTGGGGGGTGATACCAACTCTCTGGGGTCCAAGCAGTCTGTCATGGGCCATGGCCACACATCTGGAAGCAATATGATCCATGAGTATCCCATACCGGCCAGTCTGCAGCATCTGCTGCCTCATTTCATCCTTGAATGAGCTTTTGGACTGTAAGCAGATGTTCTCCCTACAAACATTTAACCCCTGAGTGAAAAACCCTTGGTGAGAAATGCTAGCTGGCCCTCCTCCAAAAGTTGCTGCTCCCACAACTTTGCCAGGCAGAAGTGAGCGTTACGATTATCCTCGAGGCGAGTAGCTCAAACAATAGGATTTTGGTCACAAGGCATTTCTCTGAAGGAACAAGGCATTCATGTGCCTAGCTCAGAACCAACCTGAGGGCAGCAGCCTTCAACTGCATGTAGCAATGAGCAGCAAGTGCTGGGTATCTCCTCTACCACCACAGCTGGGGTCTGCCTAGGGAGAACATCTGTCCACAGAAATGACATTGACTGTTCCACTCCACTGAGATAGTTCAGTCTGGTCCAAATTAGGGAGCATTCACATGAACTATCAGTAAAACTGTGGGAGAGTTAACTGCAGAGCAGCACAGCTGGAGGTGAGAGAATGTCAGGCTAAGGAGCAAGGAAACGT